GTCGATTTACAGGGTAAATACCCATTGGTTGAAAATAGCAGTCAAAGTACTTTAGCTGAACAAAATATACCAAAGCTGGAGTCTATATTTTCAAAAGTGAACAAAACACCTCTCAAAGAAAAGGCTCGATCAAATTCTCAATTAAACTACAATACAACCAGTATTTCATCTGCAACTGGAGCATTAGTAACTCCAATAAGAAGACAAACGCAATCATTGATTACACCGTCAAAAAGTCTTATTTCAACGACCCTTGAATCATCTGAATTAGTACAGGAGACTCATGCCTGCTTTTTTTCCCTTATACGTGATTTGTTTTGCGCAACACCCCATCATCGAATGCAATACAATGAACTGCGTATGCGGATCGATATCTGGTTACGGAATCCCATTACTGCTTTAAACGATTGGTATGCTCAGTCTGATAACTGGTCAGCATTATTAACATCTGCAATAAATTTCTTGGCTGGAGACTTCTCCGACCAACCAGACGAATATGTTCCATACTTAGAATTCAAATCCCAACAAAATATTTTTCAGTGGATAGGAGCCGGTCGAGACTCTGACACCCGTCTCTCTAAATTGTGCCTTTATTGGTTGCAACGTCGTGAAATTTCGGATAGAATGCCAACTGCTACTTGCCAAGTAATCACGGACGATGGAAAGGAAGCTTCAAATAATATAAAAACAAACAATACCACTTACCATTCAAACGAAATAGACGATGTTCCGGTATCATTCGATGGTGGTATATCCCCGCCACCTCCACCACGCTGTCCTACAGCATGGGCGGTTTGCGCCGCTACAACTGAGGAAATTGTAGAGTTTCAACGACAGGAACGTGAACGTTTTGAGCAACCGCACCGTGCTTACACTTACCATATGCATGGTTACGAAAGTGTGGTCGGCCCAGTTAAAGGAATATACACACAAATGTATGCTTTAACTAAGGCCCGTGGACATAGTATGATGATTGGAAATCGTCCAAATTTTGTCACTATTTTAACATTAGTTCGTGATGCAACTGCACGTTTACCGAATGGGGAAGGCACTCGGGCCGATATAGCCGAACTGCTTAAGAGCTCGCAATATATTAACTTAAAGGAAGGCGAAAATGTATTACAAACAACGGTCAGCGGAGCATTGGATCGCATGCACACAGAACATGATCCATGTGTGCGTTATGATCCAAAGCGTAAAATTTGGATCTATCTCCACCGAAATCGAACTGAAGATGATTTTGAGCGAATACATCAGCAAAGTCAGGGTGTAGGAAAATCCAAAAAAGTTGCACATCGTAAATCTAAGACAAAGGTCGCATTACCCAAGGCAAGTTCAGAAGTCAACGATCCGAGTTCTGGTTTAATTACATGTGAGGATGATGTTAATGTAGGAACTGTGAGTACAGCAAACACCACTCCAAAAGTTAGCGCAGCTTTTTCGATGCCTGCATTAGTACCAGCAAATCCTATTATTGTTAGTAGTCAAAGTGCCATTGCGCAACAAAAAATACCACTTGTTATAACTCAACCATCAGGGAATCGTTCGCTCCCTGTCCCGCCATTAAAGTACAACATACCGCACCAACAGCAGAAATCTTTACTTAAAACGGCTGTTCAATCACAATCACAACGGCATCAAGAACATCGACAAATCAATAACAATACTAGTATTGATACACAAGTCCCACAACACCAAAGGATTCAACAGCGAATGACAATATTAACAAAAAATACAACAGTAACTGAAGCGGGTTCAGAAGAGAGCAAGGTCAATAAACAGCTAAATTTAAGTATGTCACCAATCAAGTCTAACTTAACGACGATAACTACGGGAAAAGTTAACTCTACACCAATCATTGTTGCTACGCCATCTGGTCTTCAAACTGTACACGTATCCAGCGCTACAGTTGTGACACCGTCCACAGGTACATCCGTTTCACTAGCAGCACAGAAGTCGCCATCTCTTAGTGCTACTTTCAGTGGGAAAAAAGTGGCTTTAAATAAACCAATTATTATAAATCAAGTAAAGGGTCAGTCTACATTAGGCGTGTCATCGCAAACCAAATCCGCTTCACACCAAGTGCTTAAGCAACAAAACATTGTTTACGCGCAACAACAACAGAAGCATACACAAGGTTTCATCATTCCGATCAGCATGTCAAATTCTATTTCTAATGCTACTGACGTTGAAGTTCAAAATATTATCACCAAAGAAACAAATGTGCGAACCCTGCCTCTTTCATCAATTTCCACGAGCGGTTCCACCACCATTTACATGGATAACACAAAGTTTATTTCGAATGTGGGAAGTTTACCACCAGAACAAGCACAACAAAACAAATCACATGGAAAAAATATTATTCGAATTGTGCCAAGCATCAGTGGCAGTGGCGTAAAATCGATTTTGCAATCTGCGCCAGCTGGATCGGTTGTTACTTCCAGGAAACCTCCTGTTCATGTTATCGGTCATCGTGTTGTGACAGGAGGCAGTGGGATGGGAACAATGCGGGCACACACGCAGCAAACTAAATCATTGGGTAATATATCGCTTATGAGTAGTAATAGTGGCACACAAACATTTGGCGTGTCATCGGTGGTATCTGCTGCTGGCGGTTCAACGCTTATAAAAATGTCTCCACATACATTTGCAACTTTACAGCACAAGCAAAATCAGCAGATAGTTGTAAAGAAATCTTCCCCCTCATCGCCTGTTACGAATCAGCAACATCGTGTAATCGACAAATCCACTCTTCTAAGTAATTTAATATATAATTTTTGTATTTGTTATATATATGTTAATTTTTTGATTTTTTTTCCAGAAAATTGTACAGTTGTTGCCCAAACTGGTGGTCTAACTACTCAAACGATAGGTAAGAAGGTTTTTATGGATCAAACATCAAACGCAGGAGTTGCTCACAAATCCATCGTTAAAGGTGCAGCTTCTGTTGGATCACAAACCTCTTCAACGCCATCGTTAGCTGAGAAAGTGCATACTATAAATACAACAAATCTTACTTCCCAACAACAGAGAGCTCTTCTTCAGAACATAAAGCAACAACAAAGCATTCAACTCAAGTCCGTGCAAGTATTTCCCAGTGATTCAACTAGTCCACAGACACAATCACAAATGAATCAAGTCGTATCGCGCGCTCAAACCATGGCGGTATTGCCATCGGTAGCAACTAGCGACGTTGCAGTTGGACAACAAGCAAGCAATAAGGGTGTAGCTGTGATGGTTCCGCAGGCCCAAAGCCTTCCACGTGTTTTAAAGGTGGGCTCCACGAATTCTCAGTCTCAGCAGAAACAACAAGCTATGGCAATAGCTGGCAATGACACTCCCGTAGGTACAACAGCGAGCGGTACTCGAATTCTCACCACTTCTACCGGCCAAATAATTTCCCTGGAGAGTTTGCTACAAAAACAAAGTAGCAATGTTTCATTGAAAACAAACTTCAGTGGTGGTGTCGGTGCTATTGTTAAAAACGTTCATTCAGCCAGCATTTCACAACAACAACAACAACAGCCCCAGCTTATGACATCAACCGGTAATACAACCACATATACCGTTGTATCGCAAGCGAGAAATGTAAATACACATCGCCCCACCGCATCGCAAACATCTGATGGCGTGAGTACCACAACAAAAACCACACTCGTCAGCGGTGGAACTGGACGCATCTTTGTGTCGGCTGGTGGACAATTAACTACTCCTCAGATAACCAAAGTACTCGGCAAAGCTGGAGTGACTACAAATTCTTCAACTACTGCGACCACAGGAGGCAATATACGTGTAATCAAAAATACATCTAACATGGGAGGTGTTTCAAATAGTTTTAATGTTACAAGCTTACAAGGGAAACAAGTGGTTTTTGCAGCAAAGCCATCTACGACTGTAGCTAAAAATGTGGGAAGCTCATCTCAAGTACAACAAATTCATTCGGCTGGTGTGGTTATTGGTGGACAAACGTTAAAATTACATAGAAACGTGAGTTTATACATTAAAAAAAGTAAACGTTTATATACTTGGTAAATACAATATGTAATTTTTTACAGCTGCAACAACAAAATAAGATTGTTAATTTAACGTCCACAAATAATAGTAGTAACAGTAGTGGTGTTGCTCCTACTCAGCAAGGGTCTCAAATGCAAACTGTTATAATGGGAAACCAAATATTACGAGTTCAACAAATGCAAACGGCAGTGAAAACTGTAGGTTCAAGTGGAACAGCAATTCAGCAACGTATAGCAAGTCTACCGGTTGGTAATCTAATTACCGGGAGCTCGGGTTTAAGTAATGGTAGTGAGACATCCAACAATGCGACTACAATTAACTTACCAAAGACTGTGGTGGTTGGCTCTGGCGGGCAGACAATACGTTTACAACAGACACAACAATCGGTTCCAATGACCCATCAATTGCAGCCAGTATCTACACAGTCACAAACGCAACTGGTTACTGTTAAGAATTCATCTCTACAGGTACTTTTTAATAAGCAATTGAGACTGTTTTAGTAAATCAAATCTCGAAAATAATCAGGGCGTGAAAACATCTAATGCTGGACGGGTGGTTTTGGCTGTACAGGGAGGTGGACAAATATTTCTTTCGCCTAACTTTCAGGGGAATACATTAAACCTGAAAACATTGCAAAATATGAAAGTGGTTTCCTTATCATCACAATCAGCGACTTCTGCGAGCACTTCAAATCAGAGCGAGGAAAAGTCAACAGCTACAACGCAGAACTGTGGTAACAGTAACTCTTAAAGATAGCACTATTAATAGGAATTCTGTTCTATGAGTAGATGTGAAAAACGAAGAAAATATCTTTCAAAAACATTTGTATGTTCAATACCCTATTATAAACGTAAGAAACCATTAATTAGTAATTGACATAATAGCTAAAATACATATAATGTACGAGCAATTACTCTTTTGATAAGAAGTTTACGTTCAAACAATTGTAGTTGTAGTAAATATTAAATAGTATCAAAACAAGGCAGTTTTTAAACCGTTATAATTTTATTTTTTCAGTTAAATTTTTAGACTAAAACTCTTTGTTTCTTTCTGAAGAAAGTTTAATTAAATATACTGGGGAATAATTAAAATTTTAATATTATTTTACCGCTAATTAGATAGACGTTAAAAACGTCTAGGCACACCGTATGCTGGCACGTTACCAAGCATTCCTATAGAACCAGATCTATTTGAAACTTGTGAAATATTCAAACTTCCAGGACCTGCAATTCCAGTCATCCCGGTTGTACCTGCACTAGATGAATCTCCAATGGTAGCAACCGCACCTCCTATAGGCCTGTTGTGTGCTCCTTGGTTTGCTTGTATGTCAGACAAACAAGCTTTCCATTCCTCTAAGCGACTGTAGTGTTTATTTAGAAGCTGTTCTTTGCGTGCAATTTCATTACGCAAATCTTGATTTTCGTCTTTTATTAACATATCTGGCTTTAATGTTGAAACAAGAAAACGTTTTTGCAGAAAAAATGCTTCCATCTGCCGTGCAACATCAATAAACCGATTTGTAGTTTTTTGAACTTCTAACTCGATTTCATCCTTGTTAGTGCCTGTGTTGGGTTCTGGCTTAGTCAGTGATAAAAGACATGCTTGGAAAGCTTCCTCGAACTCGTCCATCAGATTCCCATTATCGTTGTTTGAAGAAGACATAATAAATATTACGACCAAGTGTACCAAGCTCAATAAATATTTCGGTCAAATCTACCAAACTCAATAAATAAAACCAAATAGGTGTGCAATGTTGCCACTTCTTCAAAATTTCAACAATTTAAAGCTTAATATAGAGTAGGCAGAACATATTTTCTTTACAAAAATTCAAAAAATTAAAATTTCATAGTTATTATAAATGAAAATTAGGTAATTAAAGTTTGTACATATTCATAAAAACGTTGTTCCTTTTCCTCATCTAGTTGTTGATGACCATATATAATTATAAAACCTATACCATGAAGGAAATCCACAAAAAAGTTATCGATAATGAGTAAAGGCCCACTCACCTTATTTTGCATGACAGTTCATAGGTGACTGCTACACGCTCAACTTTATTGAACGCGATTCAGGATTGCGATATTTATTATTTATTTATATTTATAGAAAAATATTAGTATTTTCAAAGATTCTGTGAATTTTTACAATGGTAGCTCCAACGCTTTCTTTGAATTTTTTTTCTTCAAAACCATAAACAATTTTCTTCATTTTACTTTCGACGTTAAAAAATACTGACGTTAATTATTAAACATGTATCATTCACTCGCGATCCATCAATCATCAATATGGATATCCAAATATCACAATAAATATTGAACGTGTGACAGGCGATATATTTGCTTGGCTTCGCGTCGAAAACTTTTTATGTGAACGTACTCATACAAAAGCGTACATCGAACTTTTCTGTCAAAACAAATGTCTGACACAAAGCGAAGCAAAAGTTCTATGTGAATTGGCCATTATAACTCCGTTCCTTGCTGGGTAGAAACAGTAGTGGCCGATGCACTTTCACAACGAAGTGAAGAAAGCAAAGGTTACGTAAGAATGAAAACTTTACTCTCCGTACTTTTGTCTAATGAAAATGGCGACTGTTACTGGGCTAAGCGTAAAAAGATGAGATTTGCTCAACATTTTGTTTCGCTTTGCTTTGCTTCGCCTCGATATGAATGAACTCATACAAAAGCATACATTGAACTTATCTGTCAAAGCAAACGCTTGAAGCCAACCGAAGCAAAATGTGTATGTAAACCTGCCTTAACAACTGTGCAGTCTGCATGGTAAACTATGAAAATATAATACTCGTTACATGAGAATAACCAACCTTCAACAGATATTAACGTAGCTTGGCTTTGGAATAATATTTTTTTTTGTCCTCAAAATTCTTTTATTCATTTAATACTTCATTAGTTGATTACATAGGTATTATATAAAATCTGTTTAATATTAAAAATAAGAACAAGTTTATCTACATACATATTTATGTACATACATATGTATTGAGTTTATTTATTTTTGTTAAATTCCTTGTTGGAATGAAATAAAAATACATATATTACGCACATAGTGCTCTTAATAATTCAATTTGCTTGTAGGTACATGATTATTCCATATTTAAACACTTACTAAACTTAACTGCAAATAATAAGCAACTTTTTATGGTTCGAATTGTGTAACGTAAGTTTCTCGATAATACGATATAATATGATTTTATTTTTTTTAATTTAAAAAAAAATATATGTATGTACGAGTATGTACGTAGTTAAATGGGACCGAGGTTAATAACTAGTAATTTTTGTAGCCAAATAGTTTTTTTAAAACTGCATAGGGTAAATATAATATTTATTTTATGTAAAGCGGCTAAAACTCCACCATAGGTTTTATGCCCTTTCGAAATTGATCTACAAATATAATGATTCAAATATATAAGGTTGTGTTACTACGGAGCGTGCTTCGTCTTACGAAAACGAAAATTTATCCGTAATGTAAAAAAAACTGTTTTTTTTGTTTTTCTCATGAATTTTCTATTTAAACTTTGATGATTTTGTGTGATTTACAATCTATTCGCATTCAGTTATCACCCAAAAAACGCTTTTTCATTGGTTGAAATCTTTGAAATATTAATTTTTGAATCATAAAAGCAAAATAAAACAAAACGGCTGATTATGACATTATGAATTAAAACACTATAGACAATATTTTGTTTTTGGGCTATCCACACAACCTTATATAATTGAATCATGATCTATAAAAAGCGCTAAAGTCAAACATAATTTAAATTTAATGATATTTTTCTCTCACACCCGCTAAATTAGCCGAGGGCAAACTGTCTTAGTTAAATATATACATATGTATGTATATGTTTAATAACCCAAATATTTTGACACAAAATTTAACAAATCATTGTCAGTACATACCGCAGCCGTATGAATGATTTCTAATTACAGTTCACACATATATAATTCTAACACATACTTGTATATATGTATCTATGCATCTATTGTATTATGTCTATGTACATATTTATGCGTACGTACTTATGTATGTGCTTACATATATGTAGAACTTATAATCTCAATAGCTCATATTTATGTTATTCACGTTCTCGTTGTAAGAATTTTGCATTTACCATTCATATATACTTATGTACTTTTCAAGTATATAGAATGCTTATAGTATATGTATGTATGACAGTTTCTAGTTGATTTTCTAATTTTATTGAGGACTGTATCTTTTTCGCCTTCGTCGCAAAGCAGCTGATGACAACGATTTCCGATTTTTCTCTTACTTTTTTTTTATTATTTTAGCATGTGTACATGGTCTGTCAAATTAAAAATATTTTCACACAATTAATGAAATTCGAACAGGTTCAAAAAGTAAAAACTCCAAAAGTAGCAAAACAAAATGAAAGTATCAAATAATGTATACAACCTTTGAATAATCAACCATATTATTTTATATAATTATATCTTTTATTAAATTTTGTTTACTATTTATTGGTAAATAGCATTAGGCTTTCTAAAACTGTTGTAAATATATGAAATTAGAGTTGTTTGGAAAGATAAAGGAATAAAGTGAACGTCTAGCTATAGTGGATATCATTTGAGCGGTCAGCGTTTTGCTGACGTCACACTGTCATTTCTTTGCGTTTAGTAGGGTTCCTTCCTTCGGTGAATATTTATAAACTATCCGCATTTGGTAACATAATACCTACTGTAAAAACTATATAAGATACATATACATATGCGCATACATATATATATATATGAATGTATGTATTAATATACAGACTCAGCAAAGGGTGCCGTCTCGCTATTACTCCGCCGCAAGTGGATAGTAAGGTACAATTTTTTAAATTATTTAAAACATTTTTGAAGCTTTTGCGTTTATACACTTTAATTATACTTATACTTTATTTTAGTATTGTATTTTTACTTTAAACACTTTCACTGTTTGCGTTTCGTTCAGGCCAGACAGATGACGTCATGCGTCAATTACCATCAGGAATTTTCATTCAGGGTTGTACAGCTATCTAATGTAACAATAATATAAAAATGGCAAAAATTACAAAAAAACAAAAAGCTTATGACCTCAAGGTCAAGAACAAATATTGTTCTCGTCTCAGTTCTGGTTTAACGTTTTTCGCCCATGAGCCGGGTCAAATTAACTTAAAAGCGTAAGTGAGTTTACCCTACATACACACATATTTGCATAATAATATAAATAAGTAGAAATGGCAGATTATGAGTGAGTGAGCCAATAAATTAATCTTTTACATAACGTATTTTACACAAAAATATAAAACTATTAACCATTTTATATGACTCTGGCAATAAATGCGGTGAATGCAGCGAAGTCAGTATGACCCGACACATCGGATTTAATCGAAGACTGGAACATCATCTTGGAACTTAAACAGCAAATTCATATACTTTTTTGTGTATTTTAGTTAAAGAACAGGCACATACATACATATATACTTGTATGTACAAGTAGTTATGTAGATAAATAAATACCCTTCAATGAATATGTTTATAATTTTGTTACTATTTTAAGTATTGGATTTATTTGATTTGATTAATATTAAAGTTAAGGCACAATGGCAAATAAAATTAGAATGAAAGCTATGTACAAAAATGTTATAAACAATAAAATAAATATGAGTATACATACAAACCTGCATACACACGCCTATATGTATGCCCTTTCATATACACATCCACATACATATGTATTGAAATATTCAATATACATAGATATGAACTGAATTCGGACATAATTTTAGTTGATTTGGAGCTGATTAAATTTTTTTTGTAGACGTCCGACTGCTAATGCCGCGTATATAGTTATATAGATATATAGATATTATGGCCCCGTCATTTCAGCTATATTACAGGTACAATTTTTAACGAACGTACATGTGTATAATATGTGAATATCTGATTTCCCTCTCTATTTATTTTGCCATTTGGAGTCTTGATCGGAGTATAGATACTTGGATAACTGTAGTTAAAAGTAAAAATAAAAGAAAATTATTTTTGAATTAATTGTTTTAAAAAAGTTAACAAAGAATGTTTGAGAGTATGTTCTTTAAGTATATACAAAGTTACAGATACATGCATACATATGTATGTATATTGTATATACATATGTTATATTCATACACACATTATGCTGAATATGACTATACAAATAACTATTTTAAAAGAAGCAAAGTATGAAAGTTTCGAAGGAGATGTGGCGGATCTAATTTTCTCAAAAATAAGTATGTACACTCAAAATTTAGATAACCAATGTAGTGGTAATCATATGATCAAGTCGATCGGCTGTAGATAAATTAAAACGTAAGTGTTTAGGTATTTAATAAAAATTTACATATGGATATAAATGAATACGTATCCTTGTGTTTGGCCAGTCGAGTACGACGAAGCATTATTCAATTTATTATTTTCTTTATTTTTTCGTTAGGCTACTTTTAGATGGTCTCTTACCACTTGTGCACATATGTATGTGTATAGGTATACATGATATGCACATATTTACACCTGCAATTTAAAAATTATAAACAAATTAAAATTTATTAGGAAATCTTCACCGGAATTTAACAGGAAAACATAAGTAGAGATATAACACACATTCATTGTTAATTTTATACGTATGTATTTACATACAGTGTGTGCCTTTTACCTCCTATGTCGGTATGTAAACGGTGAATAACTTCGGAAAAAACAACTGCATGCCTTTTATGGGAAGGTTACATTAGTTTAAGTAAGGGAAGAAACTAGGTCATTTTGACGACCGTCTAAAGAAATCTCACTGTGATATTCTAAAACAATGTTGTAATGCTGTGTAACTATAATTACTATACAAATATTGTATTTTTACTTAAAAAAAGATAATTATGTATATGCATGAGCATTGGTGGGGTTACTTTCAACTAATGTAGAAATTACATTTTTTCTTACTTTATCCGTTTTCCAAGTTTTTCTCGGCTCCGTATCCATCCGATTTCAGAGCACAAAGTTACGTTCTTTCTCTGTTGGTAATGTTTTATTGACGAACGAAACGATAGCTGAGGCTGGCTGATGAATGTCTAAATCACAAAAAACATGACATTGATTGTCTTTCGATTTTGGCGAACTACGAGCCACAAACGCAAATATTGTCTTCTTTAGCGCTGCGACCGAGGTACTATTTTTGTTACTGCCTTCTTCTTCCGTCAATTGGATTTCCCAGAGACGATGATCTGGATCTATGGCACAAAATGAAATGTTATCGCCGGGATAGTGTTTTCGGAAGAATTTTTTTCTGGTATTGTCAGTGAGGGTAATTCCCTGTTGCGTAACTTTAAAATGTACTTCTGTTGGTATATGCAGCTGATCATGGGAGTACAATTGTCGTATGGCTTTACGGATAGCCTCTTTACCAGTTAAGGATTCGGTGTCGCATGAGTACAGCCACAGTACATTACAGGCGGCGCCCTGGGTTAGCAATTGCTTTTGAGCACTAGTCGGTTCGATTAACGATGGTACCAAATCGTGTTCGGGTATGCGTAACAAACATGGCAAGGCTAATTTGTTGATTGAATGTTCATAGATAAGAGCTGACAGTGATGTGAAAACTGGTTCATTGGCACAACTCTTCAAACGTACACCGTGTTTTGTAGGCTCAATAAGGAAATGGCGCACTAAATCGTCGGGTTGGCCTGTGAGTTCACTATTTGGGGGTGGTTGGTATACACGTACAACTAAACCATAGTTATCCTTGTACGTTGTGGAATTACGAACTATAAATGTACCTGGTTGAGCATGTAGTAACAATTGAACAACTTCTTCACGCGATAAATTCGGCTTGTACCAGTATTTCGACGAATCGTTGGCAAATTTGACCAGATGTGCAGCAACCTCTTGCGGTTCACTATTAACTATTGACATGTTGGACTCGAGACGTGGACGGCAACTTGTACGGTAAATGGTCTCCGAAGAGTAGTTGTGCAAGTCGAGCATTGATTTTCCTTTCGTTAGATCCGTATGCTGCAACATGGGACTAGCTGAATAGCCCATAGGACTGTTTTGTCCATTGTATGCACCATGTGGTGTACGTGGAGTAACTGGAAATGCTGGTGTTTCGGGGCGTGCGACGAGTGATGGCGAAATTTTACCAGCTTCGAATTCATTCACAGTACCAGTCGAAGCAGAGCCAATTGGCAGCGACAATGAAGTCGCCAATGAGTGATCTGTTAATGACAATTCTGGTTCGGATACATTGTGGTTGTGATATGTTTTCGTAGCTGTGGTGATATGCTTAGAGGTAGTGGCATAAATTGGTGATGACACGTCATTGCGGCTGCGAGCAACAACGGCGGCTCCCAATGAGCTCCGATTATTTGTAGCATACTCGTTATGATTGTCAAATCCATAACTAGCCGTACTCACATTTCCATTTCCATATGGGGAGTACTCTGTTGGTCGAAGCGATTGTTGTGCTTGTATTGGAGAAGGTGATAGCGATTGTTGTCTTTGGGACGGTTTTGATGCACGTTTCTCCACTGTACTATAAAGCGTTTCAATTTCACGTCGTTGTTGATGTTGTGGTTGCTGTGGTTGAATTTGTTGACGAAGTCGTGAATTTTGCTGAGTAGGAGCGCATGTTTCGCCTGCTTTTCTATCAACAATAGAGGAGCTAATTGTGTGGTAATTACGTTCCACAATCGACGAATTGACGGTTGGCGTAACGACCTCGCGTGCAACTGGAATGTCGCGAGTACGATATTGCTGTAGCTGTTGTAGCGACGATCGATCAATGGTGTGGGCACGACGTGGTGGAGGCGGTGCATCGTCAACATTTAAGTGAAATTCGAAATCATAGTTGAATTTCTGAGAGTTAGGCGAAGCTTCAAATCTACTTCCATTGATGCTATCGGCAGCTTGCGTTGATCCGACCGATCGGTAATGTTCATGGAAAACCTTTTCCCGACGTTCGCGCAATAATTCCTCAAAATCATCACGTGGATGGATTTTCCGCACGTTCAAGCTTCCATCGACATTGTCGGCAATACCAAATTTTTTGCTGTCGTTTTTGTTGTTGTTGAACATATGATTTTTGTTACTGTTGTCGTTATTGTGTTTCAAATCATTACTGTAACCATTATTGTCGCCGTTGAATTTGCCTTTTAAAGTGTTGCTGTGGCTTCCACTGCTGATGCAGACGGGAGCGCCAAAAATATTGTCATCGTCGTTTCCATATTTGTAATGGTATGTGTTGGCGATAGTGTTTGTATTGGTAGCTCCATTGCGCGTAGGCGATCGGCTATTGAGCGTTTTACGTACCAATATGGGACTCGTAAGTCGTGGTTGCGCTTTGATCGTACTTATTGCGTCTGTGCTACTTCCCTGTGGTGACTTTTTTGCACTTGATGTTGTTGTCGATCTTAATGTGGCCATTAAACCGTTGTTGTAATTGGCACCGCAATAAAGATCCGCGTCCATATTGTAATTTACATCCGCCTTGGATGGCGCTGAGCTTGAACCGAGTCCAAAATCGATAACATCACTGGATACAGCATCAACACCATGTTGAGAGCGATGGAGTCCGCTGATTCCATTAGTTGCACCAACACTACGCAATGAGGTCGGCGTCTTAGTTATTTGTCCGTAACTAAATGGCAACGAATTTTCACGCGCGTGATATGGTATGGTACAACTATAATTTTTGTTTCCATAGTTGTAGCTATTCCCTCTACCTTCTTCACCGCTATCCGACACGATTGAAAAATCATCATATGGCGACCGCATAGTTCGCGAATATTCACAAGACTGATTCATTGTGGCGTAGTAGTCTGCTACGATATTGGCATCTAGCTGCTAACTGCTAGCACAGATACAACAAATGTCTACATACAATCTTCATATTATATTTACATTTGTATACGTGTGTTCTCACATGCCTATTGACACCGACCGACCCACTCACAGATACGAATACCTTAACATAAACTGTGTGAGTATGAGCATATACACACATATGTATGTATCAGTCTCTTAGCTTTATTCCAACTGGTTGGCAGCTTGATTGTTTGCCAGCATTGCTACACTGAAAAAAATCGTTAAAATACTACCTGGTCGATCGATCTTATCGTAAACTACCTGTCAATACCGTTTTCGATTGTCCACTTCTCTACTTGCTATTTGCTTGATATCCAATCCTTATTTGATTATGCCGATTGTTTGTTGGTTTCGGTACTTTACGAGGTTTGGTGAATCGAAAACAGCTAAAATTTACATAAAATGTAGAGGGAAATCTCTTGTTCTAGTATAAAAGTAAATGTTATTAGCTTGTGGATTTCATGCTTCAGCTTTCTCTACGTGTACCCACTCACTGACTTAAGTAAATCGAAGCAATTACACTCTCCACTTTCCGCGCTCGATCTATACTATATGACGACATTGGTGGGTAGTTGCGAGTACATTTGTTTGTACTTGTGTTCATGTGCCTATGGTATTAAATGTATCTGAAGGCATACGTGAATGTGTATACATACGTTGGTCAAAGTGCACAATAAAAGCAATATAAAGTATTCCAAGCTTGTTTGCCTCATTTATAGATACATATGCATGTATGTATGTATGTATATAGCGAGTAGGAGTATAAAATTGGAGAGCTGGATCGTAGGTAGACTACTTGAGCAAGGCCGGTCTGGGTAAAGGTATTCCGTTTTCGCAAATGTTCTTATTTTTTCCAGTTTTCGTACATAGGCAAAGTGATGTCATCTCCACGCTCGTAACAATAACCTTATACCACTCTATATGCTTGCTCTCTTGAGAAAAATTCTCTCGTCATAAATGAGGGTCCACTTGATATGTGCTGGTGTGTGATGATTGAGGCATTTACACAGATAAAGTGGTATAAGTGCTTAGACAATCTGTTTGCGGCAAATTGCTCATCTGGAATACTTTAACAGGCTGACATGCACCGTCGATAGTTCCATTCCGTAAAACCCATATCGACTCCGGGATCTTGTTGGCGGCTTCGAACCTTTATACTTGTATTCTTTGCTGTGCAATGTTGTACTTCATAATTAAGCGAAAATATTACAGCTGCATAAAGAAAACACCAATACCAAAAAAGACATATTTTGATGGCTTTTTGTTTTTTCATTATTTTTTTGTTTGTTGGTTTTCTGTTCGTGTCAGTTTCGCTTTAGTGTATTCGTGTTAGTCTATATGTTCGTATATGGTGTATGATTTGGTCTATATGTATGTACAAACAGATGTGCATAAACTGGGTATAATTAGGGAATTTAACCAATTTAGTATTTGAATTAAGGCTTTTACTTTCGTCGATTAGTGTTAAATTCTTGGTGATGCATCCCGAAGATACATATTCTCGTACATTGATTGCGTATGATTAAAAAGCGCCAATGCACAGTGGGAGAAATGGCTGATTTGGCTCGGATTAATTCAAATTTCAACTTTTATCTTGACGCTATTATTGTCTCGTTATCGATTAATAATATTGTATATCCGATAGGACAAAAACACTTTTCGTTGCGCTTTTCTCCGAATATTCGTATAACTGTAAAGCTTCAAACAAAACATATGTTATCGTTTTCCCTCCAATTTTGACAACGTGCTGAAATCCGCATACAATTTTCATTTACATTATTGCACATCAACTTTTTGCTATTACTTAAAGAAAAAATATGTTATTATTAACAAATTATATATTTATGACTTATGATTGTTTTTCGTTTCAAAACTCAGTATTAACTGTCGTGCTTCTAAGGGTTGTTATTTTTACTAATAAACTAATTTTTCGTATATCTCAATTTTTACGATTCGGGCGGGTTCAGTCTCAATATATATCTTTTTTAATTATTCAATGATTTGTGATTTAGTATTGTTTTAATAGATCTGCATGTTATCGCCTATAATATAGGTATTTTGTAGCTTTAGTCAGTGTCCAAGCGAGTACTTTTTCAGTTTACCATATGCGGAACGATGCTTCTAAAAAACTTTTGATAAAACGAATTCTGATGGCAGTGTATGAGCTAACAGAACTGTGAAAATAAATAAATAAATAAATATAGTTCAAAAACGCGCTTTTTAAGCATTTCAAACTAAAAAGTGAAAAAATACTTAATATAAACTGAAAGAATTATTGACCGAAAAAGACTTGTATTATTGTGAGAAAAGTGTGGTATGCTCGATATACGAAAAATATGGCACAAAAAATCCCAAAGGGACCAAAATTTTTAAAATTGGTTAAGAAGCGCCATAGAATCGAATAGAAACTGCTCAAATATCAAGTAGAATAATTTTTTATAAATTTAAAAATTATTTCTTTTATTTTCACGTAAACAATATACTCTTTAATTTCTAATTTAAATTTTAAGTATATTTAAAATAAAAATATATCGGTACATAAATAGCATCAGTTTCTGAAGTTATAAACAAATCGCTGCTAAATCAGCCTTTTTTCCCACTGTGCAATGTTGAGAATTTCGTTGCTGAATATACCATAGAAATGCCGTTTATGTAGTATGCACATACATATAAGTGGGGCCAAAAATTGGCTATATTTGCTTATGTGTTTACGTAGTTCGTAGGTGGTAAACTGAGTTGCAGATATTTGTCTGGTTTTAGAATTTTAACATCTTAATGTTTTTATTAAAACCACATGTATTAAAGTATCTATACAGTTATTACATATTCATATGTATGCATATTCATACATATGTACAAATATTTATGGATATACAACGAGAATGTTAGAATACGTTATTCTTCATTCTCGATATAGATTCATATGCACCGTATTTTAATATATGTATCTGTAGCTATATACATACACATGTATATGTAGATACACATATCTGTGTGTGCGTGTGTTCTACGTTATTTTGAATTATCGGTTCGCCAAACTAAAACAACATATTTATAAACAAAATGACATCACTAAAAAATAGATTGTTTCACATTTTTATTTAAGTTCGTACTCACCACATTAATATAGTAGTGCACATATAAAAGTTATCAGTAACTAAAGTTAAGAGAAGAAAATTTCCTCGAAATTCCACAAATTTTTTTATTTTAAATGTTGTCTGTTAGCCGTCTATATCAAACTATTATGATTATTAATTCTATATAAAAAACGGTACAATATTCGCAAACTTTAAGATTAATACATAAAAGCAATTATGAAAATGTTACTCATACGCCATATAACCCATAAATCGTATTGTTGACATTTTACACAATTTAAAAATTACCTGAAAAATATTGCCATAACACTATATATGTATATATTTTGCTAATTTAATTTTTTCAAATTAGGAGCTTTTTTTTAATTCTAAAGTGAAATTGTAACTGTCCAAGGTAATTTGCGTAGTACAATTTGCGATGGATGAATATCTGTGTGCCCACACCCGTAACTAGTTAATAGTGAGCTAATATTATTCTATTACGCTCACACTTTAAGCGAATGTCAATTGATATTGTCTTAATTTATAATAAACGCTAAAAATTAATACATATTTTGCTTCGTCTCTCAAATAACTCGCTACGGCTGTTGCAAATGATTCTTGTTTACATATTATTATTCTACAAAATTATATATTTTTTAACATAACTAATGTTATGCTAGTAATTTATTATTATATGTTAGAATCAAACAAATACATCGCGAGACTATTTCAAAAAAATCATATCCTAATAAATAAAATAACACTCACATAGGTGTGTATATACGTATGTACATTTGCTTTCGTAATCTTCGAACGTTTTCAGCTGTTGTGTGAATAACAAATTCCCTTCGCCGCTACATCTGTGTTGGAAAGAAATTGTAAACAAATAATCAGTCAATCTTCAACCCCGTAGATACGTATAACAACCCTTCAACCTAATGCCAAACAAAACGCAGGCGTTGATTTCGAACAAGTCTGTCACGTTCCACAAATACTCCACAAGCAAACTGTTGGTTAGGAGTTGGTCTGTGTTTGACTTGTTTTCATATGTCAAGATTGTATTGATTTTTCGTGAATCCATTTAGAAGTTCTTTTTCATGATGCTGATTCATACCTTGCACTGAAGGCTTGCTAACAATTTCAAGTTACCAAAAAAAAAAAGATTAATCAAAAAATTATAGATTATTAAAAGCTGCGAGAAGTTTTTAAAATTCGCGTAGATAACATCATACAAAGAGTAAAAGAAAGCAAAATATAATTCATTACGTTGTCCACATCCAATAAAGAAAGAATATAATACAATATACATATATAAGTATATAAATATACTACGTGTGCTAATAAAATCTTCAACGACGATTTAAACCTTTCCATCCAGGCATTAGTCTGGAAAGTCATTGAAACCGTAAATCGAGATGGCTTTGGACTTTGTGGCGACGTATAAAGTTCTAGTGCTAGGTGATTCTAATGTGGGTAAAACGTGTATTGTCCATAGATACTGCGACGAGAAATACTACGACACATACATCTCTACTATAGGTAACTTATTAGTAATGGTAGAGGATATACAGATTTTTAGAAATCTCAATTTCAGAGAGCTTGTATTAATTGACAAAATTATACATATATTATATACATACATACATAGTGCATTGCTTGGGCTCTGTGCAAAAGAGCGTGCGATAAGAAAAACAAGATAATGGCTCCTACTTTAATATCGTTTATCTAGTGCATCTGCATATATGTTAAAAAGTGGCGAAAGATCATCTTCTATTTGAGTGCTCTGAAATTGTAAAAATATGTTGCAGTACTTGTATTACAAATGGATATATGCTTAAAAAATACAATTTTTCAGTGTTGGATAATGTTTGTCCATTATATATGAAAAACATTTTGTTCACTGGATGATATAAGGATATGATGATTTCGATTTCTTTTTAACTATTAATATTCTATGTAACTATTTGCACTAGGCATCGACTTCAAACAGAAATTAATCAATTTGGATGGTGTACCCATAAAGTTACAAATTTGGGACACAGCTGGACAAGAAAGGTTTCGAACATTAACTACGGCCTATTATCGCGGAGCAATGGGTATCCTACTGATGTATGATGTGACCAATTTGGAGAGCTACAACAATTTATCATATTGGCTACGAAATATCCAAGAGGTTTGACTTACTAATTATATGGCTATAAATATTTATAAATGTGTGCACAATTACACATAATCGTATGCATTTGCATATGTTTTATGAACAAAACTCATGAGCTGCTTATTGCACTATATTTCTCAAAAGGTAGTAATAGATTTGTTTGTCTAAGAGGGCAACGGACAACGCAGGTGTAATTATTATTATTTTTTTAGAGAAAGGTACGAAGCTTTCGTAAATAGGTTTAAGTGGGCAATAACCTTTAAAATGTTGTCCGTTGCAATTGGTTGGAAGTTGCTGAAGTAAATTTAAATACAAAATATATTAACAAGTACTTTTTATATTCATTCATTTGAATAGAACGCGTCACCGGATGTTGTCAAAGTCTTAGTGGGCAATAAATGTGAAAGCTCTGCTACTCAACGGGCGGTCGACAAAGAACGAGGAGAAAAAGTAAGTTCAAAATAAATTTTTTACAATATTTCCTACTAATGCTTAAAACTTATGTCTATTTCACATTGGTTTAATATTCTCAAATTATAAATAAAAAATTAGATTGCTGAAAATTTTGATATGCCCTTCTTTGAAGTATCCTGTAAATGCAACATTAATATTGAGGAGGCTTTTCTAGCATTGGCACGAAAGATCAGGGAGCAACGCGAACGTCGGGTAGAATTTTATTTGAAAAGAACTCATAGTGTTTCTAAAATATTAACTTTGTTATATTTTTAGGGGGATAACTTTGATAACGACGATAAAAATCAGGACAAAAAATCGCCTGGCTCTAACGGGCTTGGTACCTTTAGTTTGGCCAGTCTCTCCGAAGGTAATCGTTGTTCCTGCTAAGCCGAACAGAAATATTCCACATACTCATAAGGAAAAATACGTCCAATAGAGTGCTGTAGTGGAATATGTACTTCCATGCATACTTACATACATACATACATACACACATGCTATCGTAAATACTACCGATACACTTGGCCAAATATGACTAGCACTGAGATGCGGTATGAGAGCAAAACAACTTGAACCAGCCTACAGGTATTAGGCAAATCGCACTTTTCCTGAGTGGGAATATGGTTGCTAATGGCGGAGTTTCACATTACAACCGTAATACATTGATAATACATTACATAGTTCATGGTTGTTGTAGTAATACAATCCAAACTAAAAGTAAAAAGTTATTTCAAAATTTTATAATACAATATATATATGTAAATATGCACATTTTAGAGCTAATATCTTATGTTTTATACATGCATACATACATACATACATACATACATACATAATATACATACATATGTAGTTGCATAAAGCCAAATAGCATGTAATCGTTTGCGAGCGAGTACTTCATATTGCGCCTAATAAATAATATAGTAAAGCAAGTATTAAGTAAGAAATAATTTTAGTCGAGTTGGCCACTTTAAATTTGGTATAACATAAACCGTTAACATCTCCGCTAGTAAAATATATTCGGCAAACTGAAAAAGGAAGGACACCTACATATGGCATGTATTGTAGTTTCATGAGCAAAACTGGTAAACAATATCTTGATTAAATACGTGATTTATAGTTAAGTAGTTAAAATTAACCATTCCTTCTATAAATTAAAGGAATATATAATTGAAACCACCTAAGGAAGATTACAAACGGTTAGTCACGTTTTAATTTTTGATTAAATGGAAATCCCCATTTATATATCGTTACCTAAAATGCAAACTAACGTAACATTACATTACTTTTCATAAGTTGACAAGAGAAGGAAAAATGATATAAAATAGAAACTACTCATATTGTAATAAAATTTCAGTTTGGTTATAACTTGGTTATATTTCTACATATACATACATATGTAATATGATGTGGTGAAACTTAATCAATAAAAAAATCAATTTATAATTTTTTGATTTTAGGTGATGCTATGTATGTATATAATAATAAGAAAACATTTTTATATATAGAAGCGATGTGTAAATTTTAAAATTATGCTACGGAAGGCAAACATCTGTAAATGCCCGTTGTCTTTACGAAGATTCCGTTTCCAATAGCGTCTTAGTCAATTACCCAATAGTGTACAATAACAAAACTGAACAACAAATCTTAAAAATGCTTGTAAAAACTTACTAATGAATTACGAACTAAAGTGTATATGTATATTCTCAACCTATATGAATTTTATAATGTGAACTACCATAGATAAGTAAGTACAGACATACAATATTATGTATATCACAGATCGTATTACTAACTTAACTAACTATGTCTGCTTGAAATGTGCTACATACATACATATGTACATTATATTTACATTTCAGAGTCTATTACATGCATATACAAAAGCATTATTCCAAAAGGACGTAATGTAGGATCACTTTAAAAGAATCCATTAAATACAACGTAAAGCGATTTGGTGCATTAGTTAAGTGAAATTTTACTAGTCGACTTGAAGTAAACTTAAGATTTATTTTTAAACAATGTACAATCCACAATAAACCTAGAAAAATAATTTCAATAATACGAAATAAAATACATTAACTAAAATATTCACGAGATAAATATCATCAAGTGTACATTTGTTTACGATTAAGTGGGTGTTGGGGTAAGGAATACTAATTGGTCTGTATACTAAGCATGCGTTCACGAGCCACTACAACTAAGAATAGTTTTTATTTGTACGTAGATCCAAATTAATTTGTGTACATCTATGAACATATATGTACGTATATATTATTAAACACGAACTGCGATTTTGACAAATTTGACACATGCTGCTCCATAGCTGCATAGCTCCCGTTGCTAGGCAATGAAATTGACCACAACATTTTCTTTGGCCAGTGGCCGCCAGTTTTAGCGAGTCGCCATCTAAAAACCAGTCCAGGTAGCGGTGGATGGACATGTACATACAAGCTTCGGATTGCACATAAAAATGAAAAAAATTAAAGCTAAGGCCAGTTCTGTGCCGATTTTTAATGGGCGTATATCAGATTCCTCAGCATCAAGTAATTCTTCCATGAATGCATTTGCATCAAGGTCAAAAAAGCGAGCCACATTTAATGGAATCATGCCGCCCAAAATCTTCACCATATCGAACTCCTCATCTTCGGTATCAGCATTATTGAAAGATGAAACTTTAAATAAAAACGGGGGGACACAAAATTATAATACATCGTTAACCGGTCCCATTCCCAAGGCACTTGATACTTCAAGTATTAATCGGTTTGGGCTGAGTAATTATGAAAAAATTAGAGTGGTCGGACAAGGTAGCATACCTATTTCCTAATAATTACTATCTTTAATACATTTTTGGTACTCGGACAAGGCTTTTTACTGTTTTCAATATTTGCAGGGTCGTTTGGAGTGGCGATATTATATCGACGCAAATTTGATAATCATCACATTGTTTTCAAACAAATAAATTTAGCAGACCTGACACCATCCGAAAGAGATTTGGCTATGAACGAAGTTGAAGTATTTTCTAAGCTTCACCATCCAAATATAATTAGGTAGTTAACGTAACATTTAGATGCGTGCGTATGTACACGTCTATATACGCATATCTTTAAACTCACCATACAAATTTTACGTTGAACCATTGCTTAACTTCTTTATAAAAATTGCATACACTATTGAATTTGAATAATTCGACAAGGATTTCTCATAACTCAAATTAAATAAAAATAAAAGGAGTATAAAAGCACATGAGGGCTACGTGCGAAGAAATCCGGACAATTAATAGTCTACAGATTTGTTTGTAATTTTTTCCGTTATTCTTCTATTGAATATTCTTTAGTTTAGTAGTATAAATAAAAATTATTATATATTAGAAAGATATTTCGGGGAAAAAATCACCGAGAGAAGAAACAGAGAGAAAGAGAACCTATGTTGTATACTTACTAAATCGAGTATGTGATACATATTGTCTTGTCAGTATGGTTTTGGTCCTATTTGGGAACATAGCATTATGCTAGAAGCTCTAAGGAATGGTATGAAAATATTACTAACCTAATCTAAACTAAACATATATAACAACATTTTACCACAAAGCCAAATACCACACACGTAGAAAAACGCAGTTGGCCCTACTAACAACATAAGAATAAGACATCAAGTCACCCCTTGAGTGAAATTTTTTTGAAAAAAACAGCCGCAATTTCGAGAAGCAATAACGTTGATAAAAGCATACCAGTATTCAATATTGTATACATTTGATCTAAGCAATCTAAATATAATCTAAACAACAATTGTATACGTAAGCACAATTTTTCAAAATTTTCTATTACAACTTATCCATTTAATATAATATGTAAGGATGTCAAGTTTTGTGTCCATCTTCTTATAGGTAATACAATAATAATGTTCAAAATTCTAATTCTTTGGTATTGGTAAAAATTTTGTTAAGATATTAAGAGAAAAATCACTGTCATTTCAATCTTAATTCTGTTATTTTTTGTTATGAATACAAATTATAATTATTGAATTTTTGTTTACGGAATTTTTTTTCAGTTACTTGGGTAGCTTCATTAGAGACAACACCCTGCTGATTGAAATGGAATACGCGGATAGGGGCACCTTGGCTCAAGTTATCGCGGACCGTCTAATGAAAGATTATTTTCCTGAACGTTATATCGTTGCAGTTTTTGAGCAGATCTCAAGTGCCATCAATTACATGCATTCTGAAAATATTTTACATCGGTAAGACTTTGTAAAATATACATGCACATATAACTAATTTTTAGTACTCTGAATTTGTAAAAAATGTATATAAGACATTGTACACGATAATTAGAGAGTTCAAACGTTCTGATTTTCCTAACTCGTTATGTTTACAAACGGTTAATATATAATACCACGGATAAGCATGTTAGGTTTTAATATTTTTAAAAAGTATCCATAGCATAATATAATATAAGACAACTTATGCGTGTGGATCTCATAAACTAGATACTAGAGATAAGTCAGCAAAACTAGATAAAATCATTTATTTATAAAAAACATAGAAAAATGTATGAAAAAAAAATTGAAAAAAAACTATTTTTCCAAAATTCATATCTTTGGAACGAAAAAGAACACCCCTCTGAAAATTTCAGAATTTTTTTAGATATGTTAGAGGTATAATATAAAAAATTTTTAGGCCTAAATTTTCCCGGGATTGTTACTTTTTATGATTTTCCAAAATTCTAAATTTTTTAATATTAGTAATTTTCAAATTTTTGTTTCAAAACCATTTTTTTCCTATACATCTAATTGTCCTTTGAAAATTCACCAGCGTTCTTTGTTTAATATACAGTAGTTCCTGAAATATTAAATATATAAACTCATAAAATCCTTTCTTTTGGAAGAACTTTGTTTAATGATAAGACATAACTTTCCACCAAAATTCATTCGAATCGGTGGGGGTCGCGCCCAACTATTTGTCCATTTGACATGGAATGACCCATATGCTTAAGTTAAAAAAGCTATTGTATGATGCCAACAGGTAACAGGGATTTATGGGAGGAATTACTGTAAAGTCACCTATAAGTATTCAAGTTTTCATTCAATATTCATCATTTATATATGTATACACTTATCTTTTTTAGAGATTTGAAAACTGCAAATGTGTTTTTGAACAAACGAGGAATAGTAAAGATCGGAGACTTTGGCATATCAAAAATAATGAATACAAAAGTGTTGGCACAAACCGTGCTAGGAACTCCATATTACTTCAGCCCGGAGATGGTAATGCCAAGTCAATAATTATTATTTATTAAATTAACTAAAATTATTTGTTTAGTGCGAAGGTAAGGAATATGACCATAAAAGCGATATATGGGCATTGGGTTGTATACTTGGTGAAATGTGTTGCCTAAAGAAAAGTTTTGCGGCCTCAAATCTTTCCCAATTGGTGTCCAAAATAATGGCGGTAAGTTTATGATGAAAGAATCTACATCTTTAAAAGATTATTCTTAAGTACACATAAACATACATATATGTAGCTGCATGAAATTTTTTTAGGGTAATTATACTACTATACCGACGGGCTATTCTTCGGGCTTACGCAGTCTCCTAGGCAATCTCTTGCAAGCAAGTTTCCACATTTATATATGTACATACAGACATACATACATACATTTATATGTAACACTCTTCTCAATATTTGCCATGCAACCATAACATTGTAGGTGGATGCTTCTCTTCGTCCAAATGCCTCTGAGATTTTGGAGTATTGGATTCCGCTTATATTTAGAAATTTGGGAAAAAATAAAGGGTAAGCGGCAAAACATTTCCACTGCCCATACGTACATTGCCCGCTCTATAAATATTTGTTTCGTTAGTTATTCTTATAATGATGATATACTTGCAATGAATCCTATTTCAAATATCTCAACTGAAGTACAATCAGCCAAGGAGAGCGTAGAGCTCAGTTTTTGTTTGGAGGCAGAGAACTCTAAACAAGCATTGACAGAGCTCCCAACCGGTCGCACCGAAAGGGAAGTAATGAATGCGGAAACTGCTATACCCAATGAAATAATTTGTAAGCGGTCAGTAAATAAATGCAAATACTAAATAACTTGACATAGAGAATTAATTAAATGTATGATTTTTTTTTAATTAGGTCCGTATTATACCAATTGAAGGCATTTGGCAACAGCTTCGGCATGAATCCTATACAGTTACCTCCCAAAGCTTGCATACGCTCAGTCGCTGCCAGTGACTCACATTTTGTGGTGGTTAATGATGGTAAGTGATTATTAAAAATAGGACAATTAAAATATATAGACATTTTTGTGTTGTCAATAAATATATATTTTTTATTATTATTATATTAATATGTTCCTCAATTTTAATTATTTTAATTAAGTATATAATTTTAAGATGGTTCAGTTTATGCGTGGGGAGAGGGCATACACGGACAACTCGGTTCATCTTCGCTTGAAGGTTGGAAACATTATCCCAGTAGAATGGAAAGCATTCGCAGTCACCATATTATAAGGTAAATTCATTAATTTAAATTAAATCAAGTAAATAATGGGGAAATTCGATTTTATAAACTAAAAGTTAGATGGTCTTTCAAATTGTATATATGAATATAATAATGTCTTTGCGGAGCTTTCTTACTTTAAAATATTATATTTTTTGTGTTTTGATTCTGCTAACTGTCATAATAGTTAATGAACTCAAACCATATAATGATCGTGTAGGCACCATTATAAGTAAATGTATAGGTGTTCAAACTCTCGTATAAGTGTGCTTCGATATTCGAAATATTGGTGGATAGCCATCAAGAGCTGCAATCATCAGCGATTTCTTGTCATGGATTAATTCTCATTGTAATGAGTTTAAGTTACATAAATCTCTGGGTGCAGTTTGCTTTTTTGGATCCCGTAAAGTAAAAATTTCAATGCGACAAATCAGAACTAAGCTCGATTTTTGTGCCTTAACCTAACCTTAAGTGTACTAGATTACTTGCTATTCAATTATTCGATTTTTTTTTGAAGATTGTTCGAGTTCTTGCATACATATATTATATTCTATAGCGCATGCGTTGGCGATGGCTTCAGTATTCTATTAACACAATCGGGTAGCGTTCTCAGTTGTGGCGATAATTCAAAGTACGCATTGGGACATGACGAAAACAAGATATATCATACACCAAAAGGTGTAATAAAGCTACAAGATATACAAATAGAGAAAATAGCGGCCGGAACTGAACATGTGCTCGCTTTAAGCGCCGATGGTTCGATCTACGTTTGGGGTACCAGCGCGCATGGTGCTCTTGGCTTGGGTAAATTTCAAACACAGCAGTACGTTTATAAAGCATATGTTTACCTTTACATACATAAACTATACACAAATAGGTGTTAAAGTAAATTTATTGCTATTTAACTAACTTTTTAAGGAAAACCCCACAAAAGGTTCTACTACCACATATGAATGGAAAGGCTGAGAAAATTTTTTGTGGTCCGAATACATCGGCAGTTCTCTTCAAAAACGGAGACTTGTATGCCTGTGGCTGCAACAAATACAAGAAGTTGGGGTTTAAAAAAAGCAACATAACAGCATTCGTATGTTTCTTCCATATAGACGGAATTTACGAACAGTACCTTACAAAAGTGCAAGTTACCAAAAATTTATAAATTGTCTCTTACTAACCCGAATGAATAATTAATACGGTTATGTATTGCTTCGTATTTTAATAATATGTTGATATTAGTTTTTGCATAAAAAATGAGTATTTATCGGAGCAGGAATTTCATACTAGTGCACTTTAGTCAGCTACTGTACTATAGAAAGTTATACATATTAGCTTAAAATGTTCATTATTATTTTGTAAAATTGATTAGAAAAAACTACAATTGTCCCATAAAATCATTTCGGCGAGCTTCTCTTCAGTGCATACCATTTTATTAATGGAAAACGGTAGTGTTTACACGATGGGCCGCAATTCAGAAGGACAACTGGGAGTAGGACACACAAATAGCGTTGAGCAGCCCACTCTGGTGAAATTCATTGCACACCGCACCATTATAGTAAATACACGGGCTCTTTAACCACTCTAAATACTTTATTTTCAATTATGTTTTTGTTTTAATTAGAATTGCAAATGCAATGATCAAGGTACAATAGTTACTTCTAAGGATAATTTTATAACCTTTTGGGGAACAAGAAATGGTATACCGGGCTTTGGAGAAAGTAACTTTAATACGGTCAGTATTTTATGTGAATTAACTGTTCAGTCCTATTTATATAAAAATTGTTGATAGTTGCAAGGGCATAACCAAAACTCTACTAATTCTGATGTCAACAACAGCACTGTGGCTTTCACAAATTTCCTTGCCTCGATTTATAAATCTGAGCTACTTTTAAAACCTGTAGATCTTTTGTCGTGAGTACCGTAATTTCGAAAATGACAACATGTTTTATTATATGTAATCAATGAACTTTTAGTTTGTATGCATCTCAGGAGCAACGCGTAAAAGGCTACTATATTGAATTAAACAACATATATCTATTGCCGCACAGTGTTTTAGTGTTGGTGGACACCACGACACCGTTGGTATCCTCTCTGGAAGATTTGCAGTAGTGCATGAATAATGAAACAATAATTTTATTACATTTTACATTAATGTAATTTCTATTTATTTTAATTCAAATTCACTTAAATATATATGACAAATTTATAGCATATTTTTGAAACAAGAGAAAAATAAGCATTACAAATTATGATCAAAAGGCATTACAAAATTATGTTTAAACACATGGTCAGGCATTATTTTTTCAATAATTATATTCATATTGATATTGAATCTAATACATCTTTTATAGTTTTAGTTAGCATTGAAATTAGGGAAAATTTGTTATGGTCCCAAAAATTGAACTGCTAAATATTCAGCATAATTCATTTCTTGTCATATTTAATTTTCAGATAAGATGTTTTTGAAACATTAAATAACTATCGTTTGTTGTAAACTGGCGAATGCAAATGCTACTGATAAATGGTTACATGTTTTTATCAATTCACATATAATACGAAAATAAATCTTTAAGCTATGATATCATAAAATTACCAAAATGAAATTTTAGTAACGCGACATTTGACCGCCATACCGCCCTCCGCTGCCAAACAAACTTCCAGCAGTGTAACCACTATTAGAGCGTTCATTGTATGTCCGATCGAAACGGTCTTGCGCCGATTGCATAGGACGCCAGTTGTTGTCTTCGACCGACTTCTGCCACGTCGAGTTACTGTGCATATTTGACATGCCATTGCCGACGTAAGATTTGACACCACCTCCTCCACCAGAACTTCCACTCAAATGGGTAGATGATGCCCAAACACTACCGCCATTGTTAGAGCTGCCGTAAGTATTTGAGTTTTCATAACGTTTATTTCCAGATGTTGATGACCTACAAATTATAAAAATATGTATAAAATATATATTAAAATGACGAAAGGATATGGTTTACCGTATGTCATCGATGCCACTACGTCTGTACCCACTCGTAGAACGTTCCGAATCTACATAACGACCGGCGCTAGCCTTATGAATAGTTGAGCTGACATCGCGGCTTGTATGAAATGATGAACCACTGGTATTACCAGTTGTTGGAACATGACGAATTTCAACCTCACGCTTGTAGTCATCACGAGATGATTTGCTTGCCCCATAATCGTCTATGATTCGTTTGGATGAAGTTGACGCTAAGTAGTCATTATTACGCTTACCGTAATCATCAGTACTGCGTTTCGGTGGGACGACTGGGTAGTCATCCAACGCTGCACGCTTGGTACCCGCACTGGAAAAATCGTCGCGCTTTGAGTAATCCATACGTTTTGTTGTAGATGGGAAGTCATCAATGACACGCTTGCTAGATGATGAGCTATTATAATCGTCCCGCTTTTTATCATAGCTGTGGGTTTATAATCATATATTAAGTTTCAACATTTTTTTTTTTTTGCTCTAGGCGTTTTTAAGTTTATATATAGTGTAAATACATAGTTAAAACTTGAAAAAATCATGTTTTTTACCTTCTTGATGATGTCACGAGACTAGCATCGAAGCGCGGCGGTGGCGGCGCCTCGAAACGAGAATCACTTCCTGACGAACGTTTCCGATTGGCCACTTCGGTATAACGTTCATCGCTGGATCTTTTTGCTAGCCGTTTAATAGGATCCTCGCGGGCGTGCATAATCCTTTTGGCACAATTTAAACGAAAATTGGGAAAAAGACAAAATAAATGATTAATCCCTATACATATTTAAGTATTTATATTTTAATATTAGTTTAAAAGTGTTGACCATTTTGGGGATGATGCTTAATCACCTTGCTTACTCTACATTTCTGAAATTCTGAAGCGATTAAGACGTTATAGGGATTTAACTTATACAATTTTGTCATAATCACACTTTGTATACATCCAACAATCAGCATTCAAATACACATCCCGAAACTTGTTCACATTTGCCTCAGCGGCATTGACCGGAAGGAGCGAATAATACGGTTTGTGTTCGTGCATCATGTGCATTTGTATATGCGGGAGTGTTTTGGTGGATATATGTATATTTTATATTCTAAGAAACGAATAAATGAAATGGTTTACGCGTTCATACTTCATTTGTTGTCGTTTTAACTCGAGACGCTCCAGTTCGATTTTCTCTCGCTCTAGTTTTTGCCTTTCACGCTCCAAACGCAGCAATTCGGCTTTTTCTTTCTCCAAGCGTTCACGTTCCTGTGCCAGTTTTCGACGTTCTTCGGCCAAACGAGCTTCTTCTTGCCGTTGACGTTCGCGGATTTCTCGCCGACGCCTTTCTTCTTCACGTAGTTCACGTTCACGCTCTCTTAATCGTTGTCGCTCTCGCTCTTCTCGTAATTGTATGTACTCCCTCTGTCTGATGCGCTGTTCACGTTCACGATCCCTTTGACGTTGATCACGAATATTTCGGTCGTTGCGATTGCGGTCATTGGAACGGCTGCGGTTAGAATGCTGACGGATATTTCGATCTTTCTGCACATCTTTAGAAATTGCTCGCTTCTCAAGATTGCTAGCCACACTTTTTTCTTTCTCCTTTTCCTTTTCGTCTTTTTTATTTTGATCCTTCTCCTTTTCTTTGTCGCGTTGCTTGTCCTTCTCCAATTCAGGTTTCTTTGATGCATCGTCCTTCTTTGTATCAATAGTTTTACGTTTGTCGTCTCGCGTCTTAGAAGTCGTGTCTCGTATCTTCTTGTCTTCATCTTTTTTTGTTGCATCCACACGTGTTTTGGCGACACTAGTTGAGCTGCTGCCGATTTCGTTTTTAGTGCGCTCTACTGATATTATCCGCCCATGGAGCTCGGTGTGATGCAAATGCTCAATGCAACGACTGGCATCCGACGATGATGACATTGTTACGTAGCCATAACAACGTGTGCCCGGAGTTCGGGTATTGGTGACCACCTTGGCTCCGATAACCTTTCCATATTTGGAAAATATTGTTTTCAGATCGCTCGCTCTCGTTAATGACGATAACCCGGATACCCAAAGATTACGTGAAGGCGTTGTCTGCTTTCCTGTGGACGACGATTTTGTAGAGGTATTCGTTGAAGACTTTTCTGCAATTTCCATATAAATAATAGTGGAATAGTAATGGTGAGCACACATACAAATAATTTTTGCGATCGTTTTGTAAGTCTTCATATTTTTATCTTTGAAAAAAGGAACTTGATTGTAAACCAGAATTTTGTATCATAAGTCGATATAAAATGTCTTCATCTACAATACAACTTTGTTTTTAAATTCATATAAACGTGCAGTTTAAATTATTTCTCTATAAATTAATCGACAAAGGAAATGTGAACTTTGGTTCTTAATTAGAAGTAAAATATATTAATCGAATACTCGGTAGCAACTTAGTGGGTATGTAAAATCCGGTGAACTAAAAAGCACCTAATTAACCTGTGTTAAATAACGTTGATCCTGCGCCAACTAATGATGATTCTGCGCCAGCTGATGATTCTCGGTGACACGTGTTAATGTAAAGTAACATCAATGCTGCTTGTTGAAAAGTACTTTATATGATTAACAGGAACTAATGAATCACTATTTCCTCTATTTATATGAGATAAACGTTATTACTCAGTGTGGAGATTTTAGATCCATAGGTTTTGTTGATTAGTAATCCTTTATTTGCATTTGCAACGTTAATCCAAAAATTGATCGGCATCAAATTGTTATCAGTTTTTTACAAAGCAAAAAATGTTTGTGTCATGATGGTGTCCGGCATTTTACTGACTTTTTCCGGTTTTAAATGTCAGTCATCTCTATAATATACATCACGTATATTATATAAAACTCTTAAGACGCATATAAAGTTGTTTTGGTGAATACTAGTTGTTACAGCAACGTGACCTTAGATTACCTTTGCTGTTCTGAAAAGTTATCAGCGTAGAGTACATGTTTTGTGCTTTCAATTTACTAACTATTAAATTACACTCATGCTAAAGGATTGTAAAATACTTCTTTTAGAAAGGTCACACTTCCCTTGTCGAATAACACCCTAGCATAAATTCAACCAAGCTAAAAACTTTCTTGAAAATCATATCACTGAGAACTAGTTTTTTGTTAAGCCCTACATCAGTGTCCATCTTGTATTACACTTTCAGCTGTTGCCATGGTTTATTACCCTGCATTTTTTTTGGCTATTTACCTTTGTCATCCTTCTGCGAAGTCTTGTTTGAAGATGATTTTTGTTCACTGTTTTCAGTTGGATAATCACGATCACATAAACAATCGAATTTCGGGTTGATTGAAGGTGAATTTAGCGGAAAAATATTAAAAGGAAATTAATTAGTTAAATATTCTTTCGTTGAAAGCTTCAAATCTTCAATTAATTTCGAATAATCGAGCAGTTGTTGGTATGTATTGTTTATATCAGCGAATAATGTTGATATTTGTAAAAGATGAACGGCCTAATAGTTGTGAGAAAGGCGCTGCAAACACATCTGTTCCTCATAAAGAATGTATCATTTCATCAACTCTTCCGTATATTTGTTTCTTTTAAAGTATTTTCTTGTTATTGCTTAGCTTATAGTCACATGATGGCTCCCGCTTTTGTGGCTCGTTTACAAATCTTAACAATATACAACACTATAACTGATATAAACTTACATACAACAGACAAATTGGAAAATAATGTTTGCTTGTGATCTCCATTCCCTTTTTGAAAGTAATTATGCTGTTAAGTAGCTGTGCTTTGGCATTCAACCAACCTAATGTCTTTATCCTTTTTGTCGCCGGAATTCTCATCTTTTCTCTTTGATTTATCGTCATCAGACTTGCTGCATTTACGTTCGTCCTTACTGCTGCTGGAGCCACCCTTGGATGTTCTTGTGTCCTTCAAAGCTGCAACCGTTTTTGAACTCTTTTGCGCTGAATTCCTGTCGGAAGTATCACCTTCTGCATCGGCTATAAACAACCGGCAAGCAACGGCATTTTACGAGGGAGAATAGTTATTTTTATTAGTTTTTAATTTAAGCTTGTTTCATTTGCTTTTGATTTCATTACAGATTCTGTCAGCATAATATATATAAGGATATATATGTATATTAATTTTATATTTCACTACAAGCGCTTTAGATCTGCGAGACTTGCAACACGAATAATATCAATTTAAACACATTGACGAGATTTAAATATAATTTACAAAGTGTATCTGTACTGTACAAAAATAAATAATTAAAGTACTCACTGCATTTTTCCTTGTCATCAGGTGCCTATAAAGTAAATAAATAAAAATCCATTTTAATAAATTAAGAATACTTAAGTTATAAATTTAAATACTACAAAGAAGCAAATAACAGCGGAACCTAGACTCATCAGAGATAAGCTAAACTGAGCGATAAAGCTACTTGTACATTTACTTATAAAATCGGGAGATCGTGCTACAAACAAATAATCTCTATTTTCTTTAGATATTTTATCTTTGCCTTAGATTAATAATAGCAATAATACTGAATAGAATACTGTTAAAATTAAGATGAAAATTAGGTATATAATTTCTCAGAAAAGTAGAAGCAGCTATCAATGAGATATTTACACTAAAAATTAAAAAAAAAAACTTAAATCAAAGGAGGCCGAAAAAATTGTCAATTTCATTATATATAACTTTCAAATATAATGACTTATTCTTACCTCATCGTGCAAGAGTTTTTGTTCGTCTTCACCAATGGTTAAATTTATCGATTCTTCATTCGATTCGCCTGCATTTTCCTCTTCTCCCTCTGGTCCGTCATTTGAACCACTTCCCTTATCTACCTCAGCCCGCCCTTCTTCCTCGATGATTACACATTCATCATCTACATCACCTACTTGGTCGACTTCGTCATCCTCGTCGTTTTCATATTGCTCATTATCATCATAATCATCCTCTTCCCCCACATCCTCATCTTTAAGTGCTATGTCTTCGTCGTCGACGGGTTCTTCCTTAATTTTGATTTCCTCGACAGGTTTTATGTCAACTTTTTTGCAGGCCATAATTTTCTTACCGACGACTTTGGAATTGGGTAAAAAAATGTACTTACACGGATCTAAACCTTCACTTTTCATAGCCTAAATAAAATATAAAAATATATGAACAAACACACATGTGAAGTCAATTTTTACATGGATGTGTGTTATTACTACCTGTTCCAGCCGTTCTACCAAAGTTGCTTTAGCTCCAACAGTTTCCAAATTTCTTTTTTCTAACTCTTCTTTCAAATCACAAATACGTAACTCACTCAATTTTTTTCCAGAATCTGGCATTATAATTCAATTTCTAGACCTAATAATTATTTCGACAAATATACATTTGCAATGAGACACAAAATGGCTTCTTATCACAAAGCAGGGTTACTACCACACATGATTTCTTAAATTTGGCAGCACTGTTTCTTTACACAAATTAAATCTAGTACTTAAACTTAATTCAGAACTCCATATGACTCCTTTCGGATTTGAATTAGAGACTTTATGTCAGTTATTGAAGAAAGCGTCTTTTAGCAATAACACAAACAATAGATAGAGGCAGAGTAGTAAAATGAGCTGCTTTTGTTTTGTTCAGATAATATTTTTAATGTTTTTTCCTCAACAATATAGGTGTATTCCTCATACAACCCAGCATGTCACCTATCGGTTAAATCACTGGCATCACCATAGCAATATTCTGCTGAGTTGACAGTCCTTGGCCGAATAAAAATCCGTGTCCGTTTCGGTTAAGTAGGCCCGACTGTCGTGGTACCGAATTCTACCGCAACAACAGTAACAATTCTGTTAAAGTGTGGATGTTTTTTAAGAGCAAATTGACAAAACCATCATCGGGGACTTCTGAACGTGTAATATATATTGAAAGCGATATTTTGAAAATTTTGGGATCAATATTGATTCTGCGATCCACAACATTTTGTATGTAAACTCACGATACAATGGAACAAAGTAAATAATATAATAAAGTAATAAAAATAATCAATTACGAATCTTCTTAAAATTGAATTATTTATTTATATTTATATATAAAATTTTAGCATTTTGAAAGATCCGGTGAATTCTTTAGGCGTCATCCGGTTAACTAATTAAACTCGTAGATAATAATGTTAAAATTTGAAAATTGCAACCCTGACATTAGTGAAATTTTTGTTATTATTGTCTGGCTCGTTTTCTTGAAGTTTGTGAATTTCTGTACGTGGGAATTGGTCGAAAAATTGTTTGTTAACAAAATTTATGAGATTTGTGAATGTGTGTTAATATTATATGTACATATAAGTACCACAGCAATTTGATTGATTAAATTACGAACATTGTGTCTTTGTGGAACTGAAAAAATTGTCGGTTTCTGTAATGGGGAAAGTATGAGAAGACTCTAATCAACGGAGAGCCTGGGGTTGCATATGCAACAATAATAATAACATTGTGGAAATTTCTTTTAAATGAAATTAAAAATTTGCGATTGGAAGATAATGTAATAAATTGAATAATTAATGTGCATTTAAAATCCATATAAAATAAATAACAGGCATTTGATTTACTTTTTTTGTGTTGTGATATTGGTGTCAAAAGGTCTCTGTGACGGTACACAGTCCAATTCTTGTCTGTCCTCTTAACTGTATGATTTAAACATAACATTAAAATTAACTGCTAAGAATCTAATCATTATCAGAGATTACATGACTGTGACACCAAAGCACTTTGTATTGCGTGCCGTGCAAATTAAAAGAAGTGCGTGCACAGTAGAAAAAAACTGCAGAATTTTTACACCATTATCTAGAATTGTGTTTTGGACTCTAACTGTAACGTGCCAATTTTAAAGGGACAAACTATAACATTCTGGCTGCCTCAAACGGAAAATTCAAGAAACTTTTTGGTGACATGGACGAGGAAGAGGAAGAAGTAACTGATATCAAATTACAAATTTTTCATAACAATCTTCGTGAAAATATTGTAAGCATTTATAAAAAAATTTGTATTTAAGGCATTACAATAATTAAGCAAATGTTTTTTGTTTTACTATGGTTCCAAATTAAAGTAATATATAAATTACAGATTCTTTCGCATTATACTTACATGCCAACGTAGATGTATAGATAGTAAAATGTTTTTCAATATACTGCTGTGTTCAAAATAATAATAGTGGTAAGAAGTCAATATACGAAAAAAAAAAACAATTTGTGGTGTTCACCATAACTCGGCTGGAAATTATCCGAAAAAAAAACAAAGAAAATTAGTTAAATTATCCTCCTATGATCAAATCTCCCCCCAACGTTCTCTGATAATTTTTTTTTCTTTAAAATTTTTGGCGGCTATTTAAAGTGTAAACTGTTATTTTCCACTAATAATTTCGCCATTTTGGGGGTGGAGAACACCCTTAATGTAAAAACAAAATTTTTACTAAACGTAGGGGGGCGGTATTTTATATGTCGAAAATGTGTATAAAGTTTGAAATGAATCGGTCAAGTAGTTTTAAAATGACAGTGAACTCGGACTTTGAAATAGTAGTTTTGAGAAAAACGCGTCTAAAGTTTATAAACTATTGGTTGGAGCGTTAAAGGCCAGGAGATTAATATTGCTATTATATATTGCTTCTATCGACATAAAACTTTAAGGACATATTCTTGAAGACATAGCAGGATTAGTTATGCCGTATCGAATTATGCATCGATCATCTACTGCAGTTGTCTTTCTTTTCCTGCCTCTGCTTTCTGACTTTCTGACTTATTTAATGGCATTGTCTATAATTAGTTCAATACATCTCGGGAGGTCTTTTATTTTCGATCAAGTTTTTTTCTTCCTTTCTTAATTTTAAATTTAGATTGCGTTTTTCGTCGGTGCAAAGTTTTCCTTTATCCATTAAAAATTATAAATTAGAAAAAATTATTTTGTGTTTCTAATAATTATGACGTATCATTATTATGTACTATGTACTGTTTCGTTTTCAAAAGTATCAAAAAATGGGAATATGTACCCTTTTAAATTTTCACGATTATTATTTTAAACAGTACATTTTAATTTATATAAATGAAAATAAATTTTAATTTATTTTGATGTATACCGTAAGATATCTTAAAAAGCGGTTCTCATTTACAAGCATTTTGAACACCACTGTTTATGTAGCCCTTAATGTTTAAAAATAGCTTTTAAACAAAAAAAAGTATTATAAAAGTAGTTCATTTTAATATAAATGTGCATTTTTTTATAATTCGATTTAATCGTTTATTTTTAGTAAACATATATATTTTTATTGTAGTACATATTACAAATTATACATCAATAGTAAAAAATGCAATGCTTGTTACGGAGGCTTTCGACTGGCTTACCAAAGTTCTAATTAGCTTATAATAAGGGTTAGAGGAATTCGATAATTAGGTAGAAAATTGATGATTATAATATGTTTGCATCTCTGGATAATGGAATTAATTGTTGGTACAATATATATAAGCTTAGCAATTTGGTCTGCAAATACGTTGTCGACATAACGGCAGGCAGTCAGAATGACCAGGGAACCCATCAATTAAATTTTAAATGTACCTTTTCCCCTGGAGAAGTACGAGTATAGGATCACCGATACATGTATCACCGTGATCGAACGAATGAAAAATATAAGGCCATAGTAAATAACTTCACCAGTTTCTTTTACCACTCCGAATTGGAGTTTTTGGTATTATCATGTAGTTGTCCATTCGTCTGGTCATCCTGATTATTTCGATATATCTATAACTATTTCGATTTGTTTTTGGTGTTCATCGTTTTCATTGATCAAAGTTTAATTTCCTCGCAGACTATACAAAGTCGTGTGTTTGATATCTTGTTATATTCGTATCGCAAAGTCCACGCATCATTCTTTTATTGATTCAATAACCTGTGTGAATTTTGTACTTATCAACGCAATTGCTTCGATTGTCAGTGGAATTTATTGAACAATATATGACCAATTCTATTTTAATACTACGTACATGTAATATATTTGAAATACAATAGTTTGAGTAATTGAAAATATAAAAAAAAAAATAATACAAATTGTATTAAAATGGCAATATAAATATTTCAATAAATATTTAGCTTTTTAAAATACATATGTTAATTTATTTTATATACATATGTATATTATATATGCATACATGTTTATATTATATTACATCTTTGGCTATTTTTTCAATAATATTAAAAAATTATTTGATTGTTCGCAGATATTTCTGCTGCTGCTGATGTTGCTATATCTTGCCTCCTATGCGCTGATAACCCGCTTTCGTCGGAAAGATCGTGAAGATCTATTTTCCACGGACGAAGATGAAGTGCTCGTCTACCGTATAAGGTATGTGATGCATATACATATGTACAATAGATTACAAATGACAATAATTCTATAGTTATTTGTTAAACACTTTTTAAATAAATGTATTTTCTATAGTTCACTGTCGAACTTTTGAAATTATTAAATGAAATAATGCCTTTGTATATATGTATATACATACATACATTTGTGTAATATTTCATACTTTGTATGGTTTGAACGTTATGCTTACAGCTCTTGGCTGTGTACATTTTCTATGGCGATCGCTGTTGGTGCCGCCCTTCTGCTACCGATATCAATAGCCAGCAATGAGGTTCTGTTGCTTTATCCTAACAGCTATTATGTAAAATGGCTCAATAGCTCTTTAATACAAGGTAATTAGTTTATTTGCCTAATTTCAGTTGTTAAGATAACTATAGTCACTATAATTGCAGGTCTTTGGAATCATATATTTTTATTTTCCAATCTCTCCTTATTTGTGTTTTTGCCATTTGCGTATCTTTTTACGGAATCTACTGGTTTCGTTGGGCATAAGAAGGGTATAATTGCGCGCGCTTATGAAACGTTTACAGTATTTAGCCTCTTAGCCACGGTGGTTTTAGGCATTACTTATGTACTCTCTGCTGTTATGGATCCAGATAAAATCGGATTTTTATCACTGCTAAGTATGTTTATTAACAATCAAGTATCAATTAATTTAATTGTCAGCCTATTGTCAAATAAAACTTTGGAATATCTCTTGAAATACTTTCAGATTTAGGCAGTGTGCATTTACCATTTTTGTATTCGTGTGTATCATTTTTGGGAGTGCTATTATTACTCGGTAAGTATCTCGAAAATATGAAGGCACAAAGAGTTTTACGTGAATATATTTAGCGGAAAAATAGAAAATAATAAAATTTAATATATTCAGAAATCAGTTCTGAGTTTTTCTTGAAATGCAGTTATATAGCTGATTTCTTTGGTATTATTTTTCTTTGCGAATTTAATGCTGGTCTCGTAATTTTTTTCATCACCCAATCTCAGATAAGCAGCTGCTCTGTACAACCAAGATCGCAAGTTCTTTTCGTCCAATTTATTAATTACATAATCGGCATCAACAATTGCCCGTTTAGAGTTCCTCAACCTATATCGTACACAATGTGGTTAAATTGTTACAAATTACAAAACTATGTACATATGTGTATATTTAGATAGTATATACATATTATATATATATTTACTTAAGATAACATAGCGCTCGGTTGTTGTATAATATAGGACTGTCTTTAACGTGTTCAATGGCTTTTGTATACATTTGTATTGCCTTTTCATAGTTCTGCTTACGATAAGCATCGTTGCCCATGCTAGGTGGAGGTAAAAATATTTTCCGTAAATGAATAGTTTTATAATCTTATACATATACTTAAACTTAGCGCATTTACCTACGAAAGTTTTGAGAAATACGCTCACGTTCCTGTCGAATCTTGGTTCTTTCGGCGGCATCCTGCTCCATCTGCTGCATAAATGTGTACTTGTCCATTTGTTGTGGACCTCCAGTATCTGATGGGTCCTTTTGATAGACCGCTTTGCGATTGAGCACTGTGCGGTCTTGACGAACATTTACAATGAAATTATCTTGATTAATTTCAGACTTTCTATAAAAGGTGAAATATTTGTATGTACATTTATTGGACAAATACTTGTTTTTGACAACCTTACGTTTCTGGCTTTTTAGCAGCACTTTCTGCATCGGATTTATTTGCGGCCGCCATATCCTCTAATAATTTCATTACCTGATTTACTTTCGATTCAAAGTTAAGAAAGTCCTCATCCATATCCCCCTGCGCCATATTGATTTTCTTATATATGTATGTATGTATATAATTTTTAAAATTGAACTATAAAATTCATTTATTGAGTTTGTCATCAACTCCTTTGTGAGAGCAAGCTATTTTAAAATAAATTTTATTTTGTTTGTTTGGCAAGTACAACAACAACCACTCGTTTCCAGGGTAATTGTTTCGATGGTAAATGTGAAAAGTATTGTTGTGTAAACTTAGTGTACTGGTTTTTTTATTTTAAATACATATTTTAAGTCGCAATTAATTTTGTATTATTTCAATAGTTTGCACGCCGCTTGGCTTTGTTCGCCTCTTCGGAGTTGTGGGACAAGTACTTGTGAAGCCACATTTACTTCGCGACGTAAATGAGGAGTACCAAGTGTTTTACATGGAAATCGCCAGCTTGAAGCGCAAAATAGCGAATATTGAACTACTAAATATTAATATCAGCAGCAACGGCGGCGCCAACAGTTTACACAATGATTACAGCAATGGTTATACAAATGGTGGCGGATATTATGCTCATACATCGTTGGTACATCTTTATCAACGAAAACCTTTGGAAAATTATCAAACTGAGCAACAGAAGCTCAAACAAAGACTGAGAGAATTGGAGTCTGAAAGTAGAGAGTTGGAGAAATTGCGCAAGTCATCGGCGTTTCAACGTAATTTCGTATATCCTCTGGCAATGTTGTTGTTGCTCTTTTTCACCGGTATAACGGTTTTGCTGGTAGTCCAAAATACACTAGAGTTGCTAATAGGAATCAAAGCATTGCCACTAAGCACTCGGGTGAGTTTTTTCTTATTACTGTGTTATACATATTTGACGAGACGCGAAAAATTAATGCATTAACATCGCCTTTCTTTTACCTTCATACAGCAATTTACGCTTGGAATAACTTCTCTATCGAAGATGGGACCATTTGGAGCAGGTTTAGAAGTGTGTTTAATTTTCTATTTAGGTGCCACTTCTGTTGTTGGCTTTTATACCATGCCTTTTATGCGCAACGTTTGTCCACAAAAAAGAAAGACTTCTCTCGCACAACTAATACTTAATTGTGCGCTAGTTTTAATATTAAGTTCAGCACTGCCGCTGCTCAGTAGAATTATTGGTGAGTTACAAACATCTTCCTATATGAAAGTTTATTCATTATATATTTTTTATTTCAGGCATTACAAATTTCGATCTATTAGGTGATTTTGGTGCCATCGAGTGGTTAGGCAATTTTCAAATTGTTTTACTTTATAATTTAATCTTTGGCACCACGACAGCGCTCTGCTTGGTAAATAAATTTACAGCAGCTGTGCGTCAGGAATTGTGCGCGCGGTTAGTAGAGAACTATGTGCTCTTCACTAATTATATGTCATTTATAAATTGATATGCACATGCCACTGAAGGAGACGGCATAAAGGTTCTGTCATTGAAATAAATAATTTTTATTTAGATCTGGTACAGGTTTTGTGCCGTTGTTACTAACTAAACACGACGTGGTAGATACTTTTGTTTTAGAACTAACAATTCATTTCTACCATCATAATTTTATTCCTTTTATTTATTTTCATTCAATTACTATACGAATATTATGTGAAGAGAGAAAGGGGAGTTAAATTATTAGGGAATAACACCTTAGGGGTAAAACTGTAATTCAGCAGTGCATTTTTTACGGATATGAGTCGTAAGTCGTTATTTTTATGAAATTTATTTAAACTTAATTGCAAAATTATTTAGAGTGTAAATATTATATATCACCAAACGGGTGTGTGTAAGTTTCTATAAAATAAATTATTATGTATAATAAAATTGGGAATGAATTTGGTTGCTTTTAAGATGGATATGTTAAAGAAAGTATAAAATGTCTAAAAGTAAAATTAGAAATAATCTTTAAAAAAGAAAAGCTAGTCAAATAATAAATTTAGTTAGAAAATGTAAATATTTTTTTTTATAATTTATACAGCCAATACATACACCATATGAAAAAAATATAAATTTGTGTATATACCATACAAATGTATACATACATACACATTTTCAGTGCGTGGCCATAATTATTCAATCTATGGATTAACTGTGGGTTTTGGTTTATTTTTAGAATGCCCGATATTCACCAAGTCACTTGTCAGTTTTATATAATATATAATTTTGTCGAAATAAGTGTTTCAAAATTATATAATTGATTACACATTAAATATGTATTTAAAATTGAAGAATACTTGATTGAAAAAACCATGTTAAATTATGTGATACAAAAATACACTATATTTATGTGCTTAATAAAAATGGCATATTCAAACTAACCACATGTGTTAATATTTCTATAATGGTTATACACAATTGTTATAAATATTGATAGGCAGATCCATTCGCTTCACAAAAGTTGCAACTAACATGACTTTTTGTATTATGAAAGACTGTATGGTGAAAAGATGTTTTATATGTTGTTTAGAACAATTTGCTATCTCGATAAACTATTTGCTATTATTTTTTTCAGGTTGAGCTCGATATTTATATTCTAATACTCTAATAAATATATGTAACCATTGGCTGCCAGTCATTTGCAACTATTCCAAAAAGTTACGCATTTTTTGCAGTGATTGCACTACATCAGATGGATCTATACCGAAGTGCCAAATATCTGACAAGAAATAAATAAGATAAAACTTCCAATAATTTGTTTTACTATTTATTGCAGAAGTGTATAAATACATACATACATATCTGATATATTTTTATTCTAATTGTTCTTTATATATGCAACATGTTTTTGTGTAGTTCTGTAATTATTAAAAGTACACTTTTTGTAATGTACTTGCCGATGTGTTTGAAACATACATACTTGTATAACAACTTTTGGATAAAATTTTCCTATTTTCTAAATTAAATGCCAGAGAAATGCTTTTAAACTTCTGTTTGTGATTTTTCCTCTCTTTTGTCAACTTCATATGAAGTGGCAGTATTTGGGCATACTTTTTCATTATCTGCTCTCTCATAATCACTTACATTTGTGTTCACCATTTCATCAAAATCGCGCATATCTAATTCATGGAGTGCTTGCTGCACCATTGCAGCCAGCTCTGGCGGCAAGTCTTTTAAATCGTTATACCTTTCTCTAGCGATATCGCTGTCTATGTGTTGTGGCTGAGAATTTGATTTTGTGCCTGAGTTATCTCCCGATTCCGTGGTGGTGGATGGTGTTTTGTACGCATCCCTGGCGGCTTCGGAGAATTCGTTGAGACTACGTATACCTAGAGCTTCTGCGAAACCGCCGTATTCTGAAGATAATATACTCCGGCCAGACTCTGTTGATAGAGAGTCTACAGAGTCTTCTGATATACCCAAACGAGATGTTTTCGAATCTTCATATTCAGTTGTTAAAGTTTCAGAATCGTTTAATTTAAGAATTACTGAACATTTCGGATTAGCTGTAGTTGGTGTTACTGTGTCTGTTTCTAATATGTCACTAGAGTCCACAGATGAAGCGCTGTAGTCTTGCAGCAATAACTGAGTAGGTGAGTATTCACTGTTACAAGATGATACAGTTCCAGTTGTAGCTTCAATTCCCGATAAACACTGAATGCGTTGGTCCAATTCAGCAATTTTTATCGCGAGAATTCTATGGGGCATATATACAATGATTGAATTAGAAACAAAACTTTTCAATTATTATATGAGGTTTCAAGAATATTATATTGCTAGCGTCAAAAAATAAATAAATATTTTCTTAAATTTTGTTAAGGTGCTTATTATAATATTGTTAATTTTATTACGGTCTCATGTAATTTATTGACATCCCCTTAACTTTATCATGATCTAAAAAATGATTTTTGAATGCTGAAAACGGAACAATATACTTTAATTTATTAAATCAGAATCTGTTCTTACTTGTTAGTTTTTTTCTGATGGTTTAAGGCAATATGTTTATCGTTTAAATTATCCAGCAGAGCCATACATAGAGATTTCAAGTCTTGAATTGTTTCGGTTTTTGTGGGCAAGTCCACACCATTCTCAAGCATTGTTTTAACTATGAATAAGAAGAATTGGGTATGAAACTTTAGCTAAATATACTAAAATATACGATTCCTATTAAAAAAAAGTGGACTACAGAATAATATAAACTTTACACAACATCAATGGTACGACAAACATACTAATGTTTTACCTTGCTTATGTGATAAAATACTTTCATCATTTGCACTAGAACCTAGTTTAACTATACCCTTCTTACGCTTCGTTTCCAACATAGTCTTTGAAGCATGAAATAAGTTAAATTTAGTGAAACAACGTTTTTAGATAAATCACCCTAAATTTGAGGCTGTAAAATAATAAATAATTTGTGGTGTTTTCTACCTTGTATTTGGTTAACGATTGTTTGGTTATATCAAGCTCGCTTTCAAAGTTTTTTAAACGTTCATGCAGGTACTTATTTTCCAGTAATATGCCATCAATGTCAAGGAACTATGTTATAAATACAATTTTAGATTGTAGTATTTCGCAAGTTAATAAATTGAGAACGTTTACCTTTGGGTGTGCTTTGTTCGCGTTCAGTGCATTTAACAACGCGTGGTTTAACCGATGAGCTTTACATTTGTAAGCATCTCGTTCAGATATGATATCTTCTTTCTCATCAATCAAAGTTTTTAAATCAAAGGCTAGTTGTAAATTCTAGAACATAATCTCTAATTGAATGTGGAATTAGTGGAGAAAAATATTTGTTTACCTTTTTTTTTAAGTTCTCTAAATAAAAGATAAAACTCGATCGTTCTTTCTTCCATTGAAGAGCTTCGTTATTATTAGTAGCATCAGTCATGTCCATTTGTGTTTTTTCAAAATTTCCTTCTTTGCTGGATGATCTTAGAAGTTCAATATCACCACGTAGTTCGTATAATTTTTGTTTTAGAGATTCTACTTCGGTTGTTAGTTTTATATTTCTTTCGCGGGTTTCATGTAATATTGACGCAACACTAGACTTATTACCATCTATACCGACGCACCCACTGTTTTCATTGTTGCGCGTTAAAGCAGAATACCTTAGCTGCAACGTTTCTGCCATCAATTTGAATTGGTCACGTTCTGTTCGAAATTGCTCCAGTTCTTTGCGTAGAATACGTAGAGCTTCCACCTTGCTCATCAGCTTTCTATGTAATGCAGATGTCTGTAAAACAAAAACGTCAATTTGCATTATCACCAGCTGTGTATAGAAAATTGAGAAATGGGAAAATAGTAAGTAGACAAAAGCAAAACGCTAATACGATGTGGAACAAATCAATTGCTGCATTTACGTTGAAATCTCCCATATGCTTGGTAATCATATCAAAATCAACCGGATCCAAATGATTATGCGATTGTAATTCCTCTCTCGATAACATTTTTTCTTACTTAAATAAATAAATGAAATATTATTAAACTTTTAAATACTTATAAAAGACATGTCAGATTTATGAATAAGTTGAAAGTTGTTCCGAATGCAAAATGTAAGAATGACATTTTCAATATTATCTCAAAATGTGCTGCCAGTCTAGTAGTAATATTAAGCTATTTGAAGATAAATTTATACCAAAATTCATATACGTTAATTTAGATCTATTATTCTTGATATATAAAACTGAGTGAAATAATGTATAAACTAATTTTTGCACATTTTTAATTTTATTTTGGCCGTAATAATATGTATAATGAAATTATTTAGCAAATGCTATCAAATAGCATTGCCACATATAATGAAAGAATAATTATTATGCTTCACACCGAGGACGTATATTACATGTATATAATAGAAAGAGTGTCAATATTAGCTTCTACTTCATTCGTGCCAATTGTAAAACGAAAATGAATGATGTCTGACTGACATAAAAATTTTGGTTCACTTTGCCGCAGATATTTGCTTTTATAAAAAAAGTTCGATTTACTTTTGTATGAGTTCTGATTGATTCAGACACAACTTCGCTTTATGTCAGACATTTGCTTTGACAGAAAAGTTCGATGAAAGCTATGAGTATCACATCTTTCTACGCTTTGCCAAGCCACAGTCGCCATTTTTATTAAAAAAAGCATTAAAAGCAAAGCGTTCATTCTGACATACCTTCGAAGACTTTGTTTATAATTTATATGAAAGTTTGACAGTATTGGATCGTTTTTATTCGGTAGCTGGTATAAAATATACAATATTTGACAGTATGTGTGCTGTCTGCCGTACTCTGAATACCAACCAAGAAATTCTGCAAAAATTTTTTTTTACGGAGTAGAGCGAATACACATTATTATTACTGTTACTTACTCCCTTTTATATTCAATGAAGTTCGAAAGGAAAACTTAGTAATTGTGAGTTTTGAGAACAAGTGAAGGATTAAAGGCAAAAGTCAACCAGAGAATGAGAAATCGTTATATTAGGGATGAGGTTCAGACCAAGGTCTAGACCCATTTCAATCATACTCAGCGCAAAACCACATTATGTTTAAGAAAGCATGAATGCCTAATATTATTTAAATATCACAGATATAGACTCACATAAAAGATTTAAAGTCAGGTGGAAAGTCGAAAATCAATATACCGGGTATATTGACGCTAGAGGAAGATCTGGACCGCTAGAAGAATGAAATTCATCAATGTAGTATGTGGGAGATGGTGTAATTCATGAACCGAATGTGTGAATTACGGTACAAATGAAAGTTTGAAAATCCTTATATTTGGTATGTGGACGATATGGGAAGTATGGACCCGATACTCCGAAAAATAGAAAAATGTAAGGCGATGCACTTTCTCGTTACAATGAAGAGCTCATACTTGAAGATATTTTTATAGAATTGTATACGAACATATTTTTCAGAGTACCAACTGAAAATAAATCAGATTTTTTAACCCACCCTAATACATTTACAGTAAATAACGTACCAAAGTTAACCGTACGGTCGTTAATACCTTTTCTGCTAAGAAACTTTTATACAATGGCATATAATAACTTAATTATACCTTATAACTTGGCCACGAAGAAGGAAACTTCGGAGACCTACCATATAAGAATATAATGCTTGAAATATTGATCTGAATCTTCATACGTTTGCCATACAAACTAGTCGATCGAAATCAAGTCCTTGTATGTTGTATTTCTTATTTGATAAGATAGCTTTACGAAATTTAATATGGATTATTGTTAGTCTCCGAACAAATTGTTCTTTGTTTGTTCGGACTCTCATAGCATATAGGTCAGATAAAGCCTTTTATAAAAAATAATTTTTTTCTGAAAAAGTAATCTTAGTTCGACTTTCTTGTATCAAGATGGCTAAAAAGAACTAGCAAAAAGTTTTTTGTTGGATGCAAATCATTGGCCATTTACGTTTCAGAATTGGTTATAATATAACAATAAATAACAATATATAATAACAATGAGAAATGCACTTGTGAAGGGTATTACAGCTTCGACAGCCGAAGTTTACGTTTTTTTTTGTTTTTCAATAATTTTCAACTCGTGAGTCTCCAATTGACCGATATATGTAAATAAAATTTAATACAAAATTTGTATAATTTACCCTTTAGTTTTATTTAGACTTTATACATCAGATGCTTATATAATATTAAGCCATTGTGTAAATAAATATATAGAGATTATAAAAAATAGTACGTGCAAAGTCAATATACAAATGTTATACAAGTTTAAAACAAATCTAGGTATT